TCCCCAAAAACCCCCAAAACCCCCAAAAAATCCCCAAAAAGCCCCAAAGCGCCCCGTGGGCCGTACGCAGGTTCCAGTCGGACGGGTCATCGTCGCCGTCACCGCGCGCGGCGGCGGAAGCGCGGCCGGACGTCCAGCTCGCCGTCCGGCGCCGCGGCGCCCTGCGGCGGGACACGGGACACGGGGTCGTGTCGTGACGTGGAGTCATGTCGTGACATGGGGTTATCGTGACATGAGCTGGGACATCACGACATGGGAGTCGTGTCGTGACGTGGAGATCGTGTCGTGACGTGGAGTTATCGTGTCGTGACATGGAGGTCACGTCGTGACATGGAGATCGTGTCGTGACGTGGAGTTATCGTGTCGTGACATGGAGGTCACGTCGTGACATGGAGATCGTGTCATGACGTGGAGTTATCGTGACATGGGGTGGGACATCACAACATGGGAGTCGTATCGTGACATGGAAGCCGTGTTGTGACATGGAGATCGTGTCGTGACATGGAGGTCACGTCATGACATGGAGATCGTGTCATGACGTGGAGTTATCATGTCATGACATGGAGGTCATGTTGTGACATGGAGATCGTGTCGTGACATGGAGGTCACGTCGTAACATGGAGATCGTGTCATGACGTGGAGTTATCGTGACATGGGGTGGGACATCACGACATGGGAGTCGTGTCGTGACACGGAGATTGTGTCATGACGTGGAGATCATGTCGTGACACGGAGATCGTGTCATGACGTGGAGATCATGTCGTGACGTGGAGATCGTGTCATGACATGGAGATCGTGTCATGATGTGGAGATCATGTCATGACGTGGAGATCACGTCGTGACATGGGGTTATCGTGACATGGGGTGGGACATCACGACATGGGAGCCGTGTCGTGACGTGGAGGTTGTGTGGGGACACGGAGGTCGTGTCGTGACGTGTGGTTATTACAACACGGAGCGGGATATCGCGACACGGATGTCACGTCGTGACGTGGAGATCCTGTGACGTGGGGGTCGTGTAGTGACACGGAGGTCATGTCATGACATGGGGTTATCGCGACACGGAGATCATGCCACGACATGGAGGCCGTGTCATGTCACGGAGTCGTCGTGTGGTGACACGGAGTCATTGTATCGACACGGAGATCGTGTCGTGACATGGAAATCGTGTCGTGACATGGAAGTCATGTCGTGACATGGAAATCGTGTCGTGACATGGAAATCGTGTCGTGACATGGAAGTCGTGTCGTGACATGGAGTTATCATGACATGGGGCAGGACATTGCAACATGGAGGCCGTGTCATGA